CTCAGGGAGCCAGGCTCTCAGGGAGGGAACCTCGCTGTGTTCTGTTCCAGTTGTGCAATGTTTCCCACATATAAAAAGTACATAGAATAAACCCATTTCATTTCACCAGTAAGCCAGGAACTATATTATCTTGCTCGTCACACACCTAGCAGAGGATGGAGCAGGGATTTGAACCAGAGTCCAGGTGTGCTTCGGTCGCTGGCCCCCAGGTGGTCACCATCAGTGTCTTTCCTCTCTGGACGGGCATGCGTGCCACTTTCTCTCCACGAGGAAACTCCCCATTCTTCTTTTTTTTTTAAATCCTCACCTGAGGATATGTTTTTATGGATTTTAGGGAGAGAGGAAGGCAGAGGGAGGGAGAGAAACATTGATCCGCTGCCTTGTGTACACGACCTGACCAGGGATAGAATGGAAATTCCCCGTTCATGAACCTGAGCTGCCGTGGTGACCTGAGCAGGTGCAGGTGGCTGGGACCTCTGAGGCTCAGGCCTTCAGCCCATGCCCGGACCCCTGAAATGCACTCTGGGGGCCACCAGGAGCCAAGTCCCAAGTGCAGCTCCCCAGACCATCAGGCGGTCAACCATCCAGCTGAGCCCAGTCCTCCAGCCTTACCACCAAGACGGCGGACGTGTGAGCCAAGATTCTGGAACCTTCCAGCCCAGAGGAAATACCCATTCGCCACAGCCCGAGCTGCAAAGAGTGGAAGACTTAACCAGCCCAAACCTCCGATTCACACATCTCCTCGCTCACATGCAATGGCAGCCACTGAGCCCACTCGGGATGGCCCTCCTGCTGGCCTCCGGGCAAGCCTCTCCCTGGACTCCCCAAACAGGCAGTTGCCCCGCTGCAAGAACTCTCCCACTTCCCGTCACCTGCCCTGCCCGGTGGACAGAGCCAGCCCTCCTCACAGGCACCCCGTGCAGACAGACCCTCACTGTGGCGGCAACACGCAATCCCGCCATGGCTGGTGGCTGAGTCTGCTTCCCCTCCAGGGCCGGGACCCCATCCCCCCTCAGCAGAGTCTAGGTCCCAACAGGATAGCAAATATGGGCTGAACTCACCAAACAGCTCTGCCACGACAGAGTCCAGAGAGCAGCCCTATAGGCCCAGGGCTGCTCTAAACTAGTCAGCACATGGCCTGGACCAGAGTTTCTCCACCTTGGCACACTGACACTTGGTCCTGAAATTCGTTTGTAGTGGGGCTGTCCGTGCATTGTAAGGTGTTTAGCAGCATCCCTGGCTTTGACTCACTCCCTAGATGCGACGAGCACCCTCCCCCTCCATTATCACAACTAAAAATGTCTACAGACATTTGCCTGGTGGGGAGAACCCCTCACTGCTCTAGACAGTGGGATCTGCGTGTGTCTAGCCTCATCCAGGCCCACACGGAGGGTGCGACACCTGCCAGAAGTCACATGCCACATGCCCCACAACCACACGCATGCTCCCTCATGCCAGCCTGCCCCTGGCAGACCTCACAGTTACCTGCAGTCCCTGCTAATTAGGGCCCTTGAAGAACACTGCAGCTTGAGGGAGGGGGGGTGTCCCCTCAGGGCATCTCACTGACAACAGGAGGCTGAAAACATGGCCCTAAGAGTCCCCATTCCAGGGCCCACGGCCTGCTCCCTGCTCGCTCCTTCCTAAGCTCTTTACCCCAGAATTGGCTTTTCCTGTCTCTTTACAAACACACCAACACAGCCGCCTCACACAGGACCGCCAGACCATGCTCGAAACAAAAACACAAATGCGACCACATCATCCTCTTCTCGAAACCCGTCAGTGGATCCCACCAGACGTCCAAACACCTGAGCCAGACGGCCACCCGCAGAGCTGGCCGCCACTCGTTACAACTACGGCAAGAGTAACAGCAGCAGCGCCCGAGGGTCCAATGCTCACCCCGTGCGACTGCGTTGAACCCTTCTGGTATATTTCCTCCTTCATTCATTCCCAGCTATCACTGTGTGGAGCGGACGCCTATGTTATTCCCATTCTATAGATAAGGGAATTCAAGCTCAGGAAACAGATGTAACTTGCCCCCAGGCACACAGCAAAGCTCACCAAACACTGCTGGACTCAGCGGCACAACGCAGGCTCCACAGGAGGCGAGTCTCATCTAATCACTGCTGTGTCTCGGGTACCTAGAACAGGCCTGGCAGAGCAGGCATTCAAAAATGGGAGGGAGGGAGGGAGGGAGGGAGGGAGGGAGGGAGGGAGGGAGGGAGGGAGGGAGGGATTGGAAGAAAGGTTGTAAACAGTATAAGTCAAACCTAGCTAGTTACCATGATCACCTGAGAGTCTATTAACTACAATGCTCAGTCCCAGCCAACCTGGGTGGTGACACCATCGTTAGTCACCCCAGGGAGAAGAGGGAATTGCTTTCAGTTAACTGAGAGGGAGAACTGCCTGGCAATGATTTCAGGTGCCAAATCCTGTCCGGTGCCCCTCAGAATGGGCTTCAGGAGAAGGTTCCAGCAGCCTAGACATTTGAAAGCCCCCAGGTGTTTCTCATGATCAGCAGGACCCGTCCACTCAGCATGGCACACCTGTATTTACTGTCAGTGCCCCTGCAGCCCGCCCTCCCCGCTCTCCCTGCAGCTGTGACAGGTTTCTGAGCCGCCTGAGAGGTCGAGGGTGGCCAAAGCAAACAAAGATGGGAAGCAAGTTGGCTGCTTCCACATACTGTCAAGGCAGGGCTTCGGCTCTGGGCCATCCGAGGCCTCCTTGGCTCTGAAGCCAGGAGCAACCTTTGCGAAGCTGTTCAATCTCACTCGCGAGAAGAGAAATCAAATGAGGAATGACACCACGCTCCCTGAGTCTACCTGCGACTGGCCCAGTTCAGACCCGCATCACGGTGTGGAGGAAGGCGTGGGGAACAGGTCCGCTCACACCCGCATGGGCTGCTGTGGGTGCTGTCAAACTCCCGAGTTAAAATACTCCTTAACTCAGAAATCACGCTTACAGGAAGTTGTCCTTGGATATCCCCATACATGTATAGAAAATATAATGCACAGGTAACCCTCATGCACGGCGGGTGGGGATGTCAAACGGTGCAGCCCCTTGGAAAACAGTCTGGCAGTTCCTAAAAGGAACAACAGACAACAACAGACAACAACAACAGACAACACTCCTAGGCACACGCCCAAGCGAAATGAAAGCATACGTCCACACACACACACGGGCACATCAGCGCTCACGGCAGCACTGTCCCTAATCGCCAAACAGCGGAAACAACTCAGTGAATGAGTGGATACACAAATTGTGGGGAATCCATGCGATGGGATATTATTCAGCCATAAAAAGGAAAGAGGAGCTGACAGATGCCACAAGGGGGACCAACCTTGAAAACATGATGCTGAGTGGAAGGAGCCAGACACAAAAGGCCACGATTCTAGTGAAAGGAAATGTCCAGGTCAGGGAAATCGAGAGAGGCAGAAAGTAGATGAGTGGTTGCTTAGAGCAGGGAGAGGATAGGATAGAGGGTGATGCCTAATGGGTTCGGGGAGTCTTTCTGAGGTGATGGAAATGTTCTAAAATTGATTATAGTGGTGGTTGCACATATCTGTGAATATACTAAAAACCACCGAGTTGTTAATTTTAAATGAATGAATTGTACGGTATGTGAATTGTATGGTATATGAATCATAAAATTAAAAGAAGAAAGGGAAGGGGCAAGGGAAGAGGATGAGGAATAGAAAAGGGAAAAGGAAGGATGCAAATATAGCAAAAGACCAGGAACAGTCTATGTCCCTCTCTAGGAGTTACACTGCTACCTGCAGCCGGAATGCTATGGGGCCCTGAAAGAAGGCAGATCAATGTGCTGATAACAAACCACCTCCAAAATAATTATTAAATCTAAAAAAAAAAAAAGAAACCACGGTGCAGAAGTGTATGCAGTAGGTACCCACTTGTGTAAAAAGCGTGACACACATTCACAAGCATAGAGTATTTCTGGGAGATAAACAAACTTGGTAATGAGCTTGCCTGTCAAGCATGGGATGAGGGCTGAGGAACAGAGACATTTATTTATGAATTTTTTTTGTTTTTCCCCCCAAGTGTACATTTCAATTTTTCAATTAAAAAGTAGTCAAGCTCCGGCCACTGTTGCTCAGTGGTCAGAGTATCGGCCCATGCCCCAAAGGGCCGTGGGTTCGATTCCCGGTCAAGGGCATGTATCTGAGTTATGGGTTACAACCCCAGCCCCAGTCAGGGTGTGTGCCAGAGGCAACCAATCAGCGTGTCGCTCTCACATCAGTATTTCGCTCTCTCTCTCCTCCGCTCCTCTTTCCAACTGTCTCTAAAGATCCATGGAAAAAACATCCTCAGGTGAGGGTTAGCAGTTTTTTTAAATAGTCAATTAAAAAATGCAAATTAAAGCAAGTCTCTGCAACTGGAACTTGCTTAAGTCTCCTCACTCTGTTCAAAAACAAACAAACAAACAAACAAACAATAAAAACAAAAATAGTCTTAGAAACTTTAGGAACTGAGCCAATTGCCTAATCTAAAGGGGGTGGGGAAGGGAAGACACCTCCACCAGGACCAGAATCTCATCTGAAAGCTGCAGAACATGCTCTGTCCACAGGAGCTGAAGTAAACGCCTCTCCCTCTGTGGTTTGCAGTGACATGAAACAGACGTGTATCTGGCTACCAAGCTATGAGTTTCCACAAACTCTGGCCTGTTAGACCCTAAGAGGGCAGAGAACTTAACCATCGACAGGAACCCAATGGCCCTGATGCTGTCTGACTGAGCACACCCCTGCTCGCCCAGGTGAGCCGTCTGGGTGTCATTTCCAAGTTGACCTTAGAAGAAACTGGCTGAACTTCCCCCACCTGCTCTAAACCCCATCAGAGACCCAGACACAGTGGCCACACTTCCACTTTTAGAACAGAAGAAGGTATCAAAACAACAACTGCAGTGACAAGTGAAGGCAGGAAGGTGAGGAGCCGCCCAGGCCAGGCGACAGGGAAGGCAGGTCGCACTGCCCTGCCCAGCAGGTACTCACAGAAGCCCTCGATCTTGTCGGCCGTCTTACTCCAGGCCACCTGCCGCGTCTCCATGATCACCTGGACGGTCCTGCGCTCCGGGGTGGATTTGCGGAAGCTGAACACGGTCATCACGGTGCCCAGCTCCAGGGCTCTCTTGATCTGACTCTTCTCATATTCCGGGAGGGCGTCCACGTTGACCATGGTGGTCATTGTTGGCCACTCAGGGAGGAGGAGGAGTGAGGAACAGCGAGGCTGGAGGGCAGGACAGAGGAGTGTGAATTGGCTTTAGTCAACCGAGGGGGATTTAGTTAGCAGGACTTGGACTTCCAGAGCCAACTCCTGTCTCATGAGCATGAGTTTTAGGAGAAGATCCCCGTGGCAGCGAATTGCTGGCCGCTCAGACCCACACAGGACACACACAGGTTTAAATGGAAGTGGAGGTGTGGGAGGGCACCCTGACCTCAATGCCCAACCGTCACCCAGGCTTTGAATAACCAAATCGCCCCAGCCGGGCCGGGAGCCCCTCCCGCCCCACACACTTTCATGCTGTAGAATATTTGAATAGTCAAAGCAGCCCAGGCTGGCTCCCAGCCCTCATCCCCAACACCAGCATCCTTTTCTATCCTGCCGAGAAATTCCTAAACATCCCTTTATTTCCTAAATGAAGTTGGAAACAGAAGAAAGAAAACAAACTTAAGAATGTGTCCGTGCCCAGTGAGGCTGAGACGGCCCCGGTGAGGTTGGGACTGCTCCAGTGAGGTTGGGACAGATAATGGGGACCAGTATAGACTGATGAACAGGGGTAGATGCAGAGGCAGAGCAACATTGAACAGACTGTCAAACTACAGTGGGAAGCCTGGGGAGGGTTTGGGGGGGATTAAGAGATCAACCGAAGGACTTATATTCATGCATATAAGATTAACCAATGGACACAAGACACCGGGGGGAGGGGTAGGGGCTGGGGGAATGTCAAGGGGGGGTGGGGGAAGGAGACATGTAATACTCTTTGTAATACTTTAAGAAATAAAAATTATTAAAAAAAAAAAAAAAAAAAAAATGTGTCCGTGGAGACCTCTGCACGGAAATGGGGCCAACAGGGAAGAAAACCTCGGGGCCGGCAGCCTCAAGTTCAAGTGCCGGTGTAGGTTCCTGCCGACTGTGTGGCCCTGGGCAGGCTGTGTGACCCTGCAAGCCTCAGAGGCCTCCTTTCTAAAATGGCACAGTTAAAACGCTTGGAATGCGATGTCACCAGCAAAGCTCAGCATCTAGCAGGCGACCTTGATCACCACCTATTCCCACCCACAGCCAATGTTTAGGAGAAGATTCTAGTGGCAGTGAATTGTGTGACCAGGGGGGCACTAGGGCCCCAAATCTCAGGGCCTTCCTTGTCTGGCCTCTCTCACAACCACACTCAATCTAACAGAAAAATCCAGACTCCAACCCATCTCGCCCCTTCACCGGTTCTTCCAAGATCTTATACTTAAACTAGAGGCCTGGTGCATGAAATTCGTGCACAGGTAGGGTCCCTAGGCCTGGCTGGCGATCAGGGCTGATCTGTGGGGCCACTGGCGGGGCAATCGGGGGCCCCCTACTGGCACCTGCCTTGGCCGCCCTGCCCCCCGCTGCCACCACTGGTCACCTCCCTCTGTGGGGCGACTGTCAGGGTGATGGGGGGGGCCCACTCACACCTGCCTTTGCTGGCCTGGGGCCTGCGGGCTGGGGGCAGCTCCTGCATTGAGCATCTGCCCCCTGGTGGTCAGTGTGCATCATAGCAACCAGTCGTTCTGCCGGTTGATCGATTTGCATATTAGGCTTCTATTATATAGGATTATTCTAAGCACCTACTAACTGGTCTCCCTGCTTCTGCCTGCCTCCTACAGACAACTTCTGAAAGCCAGAAGAATGCTTTCAGAACAGGAGTGAAATCATGTCACTCCTCTGCTCAACCCTGCAGTCCCTCCCTGAGCCCTTGCTCTGCACCCTCAAGCCCAATTCTGCCCCCCAAACGTCCAAAGACACACTGCCTGCCACTCAGAGGGGACTTGAACTAAGGCTGGCCCTACACCAAGTCACTTAAGCCCCTGGGCCTCATTTCCACACTTGTAAAGAGGAAACTAGATTAAAGGTTCTTGTGAGGATTAAACCAGAGAGTATGTCTTGGCCAAGCATGTCAAACATGCGGATCGCCAGCCGCGAGTTTGACATGCTTGGTCTTGGCCCTTAAAACAAGGATGCAAAGTCAGTGTTCCTGGGATTTAGCTATTGCTGAATCTATTGCCATCAATTGTTCTGTGTGCCTTCCTTACCTCCTTCCCTCCCTCCAAATCCCTTTAGGAGCCCACAGTGGTTACTCTGTAGAGAGGCAGGTTGTCAGCCAGGGCTATCTTGGCCTCTACTCTGGCTCTGACTTGCCCAGAGCCTCCTGCCAAGATGCTCAAACTCAGGGCCTCAGTTTCCTCATCTGTAAAATGGAGATAACAGTGACACCCTGAAGGGGTGCTGGAAGGACGAAAGCTACAATATATACGCAGCCCCAGCATTTAGCAAGGCCTCAGATAGTATTTTTTGAGGGGCCTCAGATAATATTAATCAGCCAGTTAGGCAATAGCTTGAGTGTCAACTCTACTGCCAAGCACTAAACTGGAGACTAGTAAGCAAATGAGGGGGGAGTGGAGAGAGGTTACTGGGGTGAGGCCAGGAGCTTAGAGGGCTCAGAGAAAGCTTTGGGGTAGAGGGCATCTGAATCTAATTTAAAAAAAAAAAAATGAAGCAGGAGGGAACAGTGTTTTAGGCAGAGGAACAGGCTTAAGCAAAGGCCCTGCAGCAGGACTAAGAGGATGTGCCAAGAACTCTGCCTGAAGTGAGCCTCCCGCCTCTTCACCCTCTAATCCAGGTCAAAGGGAGAAAAGAAGGTGCCCACGGCCACCCTCACCCAATAACTGTTCATTGGCCCTCCCAGGTGCCAGCACCTGCTATACCTGGTTCCTCTCATTTAGCTCAATGAAAAATACAGGAAGTGAAAACAAGCCCTAAAGGGTGAAGTGATGTGATCAAGGTCATGCAGACAAGGTCATGCACCAGGATTAGAACCCTGGTCTGGATCCCACACCTCTGCTCCTTCAGCACCTGCCTTCTGCAATTCAGAATCCCACGGCAGAATCTGGCCAGCCAGAAACTAATGTGGCAGCCCCTGTCCCTCTCTGGGGAGGTTAAAGGCCTTGTCTAAGGTCACAGAGCTGGAAAGTGGCAGAACCGGGGTTTGCACCTGGTCCGCAGCTCTTTACCATGCTGACGCTGGAGTTCCCCACTCCCAGGTCTCAAGTCCAACGTGCAGGAGGGCATCCAGGGGAAACACACACCCTGTCACACCTCCACCTCTGATTAAACCTGCCAGCCGGAGGCACTGGGGGCTCTCCACTCTGACTCTGGGAGGGCCTTGGGTTTAACCATCCCGGGATTCTGGTTACTTCCAGCTCAAAAAGCCCAGTGGATTGGCTCCACCATAAACAAGTCTTTTGTGCTGCCTCTGGCCAAGAACTGAAAGGACATCCTCATGGCCACAAGATCCTTGGAATCGACCATCAAAATGCAGCCAGCTCCCGACCCAGGCTTCCAGAGCTGGACGGTCAGCATCTAAGGCAAGGAGGTCTCCAAGGCCTTGACCCGGGGGAGGCGCACCTAGCCATCACAGGCAACTTCCATTTTGCTTCTGCTTTCAAAAAAGAAAGAAAGAAAAACAAAGAAAGAAAAGAAAAGAGCCTTGAAATCCCTTTTTTGTTCCCGTTTCTCATCTTCCCTGGGTAACTCTGTAAAATGACTTATGGTATAAATACAAACATGGCTGAGGTTCAACAAGAGGTTTCACCATTTCTACTTTTCATGTCCTTCTCTTCAAAATAAACTTCTGGGATTCAAGGAGCCAGCACCAGGAAGCAGGGAAGTTTTCTTCTCTTCTGCACATGTTAGGCCAGTACAGGATGTTATACAAAATCCCAGGAAACAATTCTCTGTTGAAAATCAGCAGTTGCATCCCTGAGAGGTTACCATCCCTCCTACCGCTTCGGGGAAATTGTTGCTGCCCTCACACCCACCCTGCAGCATCAGGGTTGTCATCGCTTCTTGGCCTTTTGGCTAAGATCAAGTGTAGGACTTATGTTGTCACTGGAGACACAGGCAGTATCAGCCACTGCAGGTAGGGGGGCAGATTGGCTCAACTTGATTATTTTAGGACAACCTGTGAGCACCTAGTAAAATATGCATATGCTTTGATCCAATAATCATATATGTGCAGAAAGAAACACGAACAAGGATGTTCACGGAGGCATCACTTGTAACAGAAAAAGAGAAAGAAAAACAACCCAGGAAACAACGTAACTGCCCATCAATTTGGGGGAGGAGGGAAGGGACTTTAGGTAAGAGTCCTGTCAATCAATAATGAAACACACGCCTTAAAGAACACACCATAACTATTGGAGAGAATGAGAGTGATTTATAAGCAGTTTGATCGGGAAAGGTCATGAGAGAGATGAAAAAGAGTTGCAAACCAGTAAGTATATGATAACTACATTTCTAAAAGGTTGTTTGCTTATAAGTCCAGGGAGAGCAGTTACTATGGGGGGGAGTTAAAGAGGGGAGAAAGGATGACAACATTTTATTAATTTAAGTGGTGACATAGTGGATGGCTTTTACTTCTTTGTGTTTTACTGTTTTCTAAACTAAGAACTGTTTTCAAGTTTTCTCACTGGCCACTTTCCACTGACTCCACCCAGCAAAGGGGCTCTGCATGGGGGACCCCCCCCTCTGCCTCTTCCAGAGAAGCCTCAGATGCTCAAGGTGTGGGGGTGGAATTTCAGCATCAATGAAGCCTCAGCGGTTATCTCCCTGCGCCAACACACAGGTGGCGCACACGCCTTTGTAACAGGGTAAGTGCCTGGGGCTGGCACAGACCCCTACCTTAGGAAGCCCTCCCTGAAGAACTGCAGCTAAGGTCGATGGCCTGAGCCCCACGCAGACACCTTAACCAGAGGGTGAGGAACTAGCCAGGTAAGCTTTCAACAGCTGAGCCCCACTTCTCAACACAGCCCTGGGGTGTAGCCCCGAGTCCAGGGCAAGAAACTCAACTTGCCCAGGGCCACACAGCTGGAACTGAAATTCAAATTAAGTTGACTGAAGAGGCCACCTGTTTCCCTTGAGCCACGTCAGCCCCCTCACCCCCACCATACTCTCTCAGCCTCATTCAAGAACTGGGTGCCAAAAGTCCCTCCCCAGCCTCCCCCCGAAATCCAAACGCCAACCTTCTCCCCCACCCCCCACCCCATCCAAACGGGACCCATCTTTCCCCCAAGTTCTTCCGCTATGGGAGTAATGACCTCTTTGGGATTCCAAAACATAGCCAGGAAAACGCACAGACGTACACACATAATGATGCATACGATTGTGGGGTGCAAGAGTGAACCGTGAATTCCCCCCGCCCCCCAAGGCGATCCTGGTCTCTCCTGGGGAAGGGCTGCGCCTTCGCGCTATCGGGCCGCCACCCCCCTTCCCTCCCTCCCTCCCTCCCTCAACCACCTGTGCAATACGGGGAAGTGCCGGCCGGGCTGGCCGCGCGGAGTCGCCGAGCCCCAGGCACTGGAGTGGCCGAAACACGGCCCGACCCACGCAGGACCCTGCGGCCGCCGGAGCCCCTAATGTCAACGCCAGCGCGCTCGGCCGCCCGGGACCGCAAGCCGCGCCGCTTCCTCCGGTTCCCATTCAAAGCCGGGACTGTCCCGGGGCGCAGTGGCACCAGCCCCGCGTGAAGAAGCGTCCGGCGACCGGGCCCGGACCCCTGCCGTCGCCGCCCGGACCTCCGGCACCGCGGGTGGGGACCCAGACACCGCTCCCACCCCTGCCCGCGCCGCTGCGCCCCTGCGCAGGGTCCCCTGGACGCAGCCCTGCAGGAGCGGACCCCAGGCTCAGATCACCGGGCGCCCACGCGCGCCCCCATCAGGGCTGGCCACCCACCTGGCCGCGCCCCGCCGCGGGTCCCGGCTCCGGGGTCCCGCGCGCAGCCGCCCGCCGCGCTCCGGGCACTCCCTGCCGCTCACGCCCTCCGACGCGGGCGCTGCTACTTCTGCTTTGGCCGCAGCCGCGCGCCACGTGACTCCTCCGGGCCGGCCCGCCCCCCGCCGCCCCCCCCCCCCTCCCGCGCCCGGCCCGCCCCTCCCGCGGCCCGCGGCGGCCCAGCCCAGTCCGTGGCTCTGAGCACTCCCGCGGCGGACCTGGCAAGACACTCCAGCCGAGGAAGACACCGAGCCAGCAGGAGTGGAAGCGAAGTCTCTTGTAAGGTAGAGCGAAAATTTCCACATCGAGTAGCATTTATGGAGCGCCTACTGCATACACGTGTTTTGCATACATTTAATAGACTCCTCATAATTACCGAGAATTGGCTGTTTCTGGCCCTAATTTGAAATAGGCTGCGCTCGTGTTTGACCACCTTTTACTACCCGGGACAAGCCACTTAAATACCCTCAGACTCATTTTCCCCATCTGTCAGACAGGAACAAAATAGTGCTGACCCCAAAAGTTTGTGCTAAGGAATGTAGATTACCACATGGTGGAGCTCCCATTTTCCCAATGAGTTTTTTTTTGTTTTTGTTTTTGTTTGGCTCACTTTATAAACTTCCAAGCATATAGATGGCTTAGTTAAATGCCTAGTTATGGTAGTTGACTCACATAGCTAGCCTATTTCAAGTCACATACTCTGTGTGTCTGATGTAATGTATCTTTTGGAGAAATGTATTGCTTTTTCATTCTCTGGTTTTGTGAAGCAATGTTACTCAAGGTTTCATATGTATCTCTGATACAAAAGCCTTCGTGGTGACTAGAGCCAGCTTTAGGGTCACCTATAGAGCTGTAAGACAGACACGTGTTTCACTCCTAAGTTGCTTGAGTTATATCTTTTGAATCTAGGAATGTTGTTGTGACTGAGAATGTTATATCTGAAGCCACAGGACTCATTTGCTGGCTTTAGCAAATCCATGGATTCATTTCTTTTACTGGTCCTGTCTCCGGGTATACCAGGACTACACCACAGGTGACTGCTCTGTTTTTAAAAAGATCTTTGAAAGGCTTGTTATAACATCGACAACTTGGAATCACAGGGCCCATTTGCCAGGAATAATGGCCAAATCTGGATTGTATTTCTTTACCTTGTTTTTTGTCTGAGGTTCTGTTTGTTTGTTTTTAGGACTTCAACTTATATTTCCACCCATCCTTTTAACAATTCTATTTTGTTATGTTATATAATGTACATGATGTATTAGTACAACCGTATTAATGCATAATTTGTAGTTGCAAAGTCTGCATGTACAGAGAAACAGGGTAGATCTGCTGAGAAAATGAGTCTGAGTGCAAACAGAACTTTTGGAGAGGCTATAGGAAGCTGTGGCTCCTCACCTCTGTCCAAACAGATGCTAATTCTGGCAGGAGTTTTCTCTGGTCCCCTGTGAGCAAGCAAGAAAAGAACATGTACAACATGTTTCCATTGAAAAACACTCTTTTAATCTATGGTTGCAAGCCTCCAGTACTTTTCGAGTTAAAATGTCTGTTGTATATAAGATAATGGTCATGGTAGACAGCAGCTTTTTCCATATTTTTAATTGCTTTATTCTTTGCCTCATTTTTTACCCTCAGGTGAACAACTAATGGAATCCAGTGCAATGAACAAGTGTTTGGGGCTCCTCATCTCCTTTTTTCTCAAATTTCAACTTGGCTCTTCAAAATAAAATAATTAAGACAGCAGCCCCGGTTCTGGAAGGCCTTGAAGACAAAATGGCACTTCCCTTTGAGAGCATGATGAGTAGGGGGAGAAGTCACCCTGTATATTCAGGCATATACTGCAGAAAGCCTGTCATGGCTTGGCTATGGTATGACAGTAAGTAGGTGGGTGGTGGAAGCAGGATTTGCACCCAGGTCTGTCTGGTGCCAGAGCCCATGCACATGCAGGCCCACTGCCATCCCCAGCATTAATAGGAGGCATTCAGGCAGGGAGAAGTGAATTTGTAACCAATCCACAGACATTCACAAATGGGTCAGGAAGTGACCTCAGAGGGCGGAGGGAACTTTCTTTTCCTTTTCGTATAAAAAGAAAGAAGAAGGGGAAGGGAGGATAACCTAAGAGAAAATAGTCTTTTAATCAGCATTGTTTCAACTTTATATTCTGTGTCCCTCACAAGTCCATATATATATATACATATACATGTTTTTTCCCATAACCCTCTTCCATTTGCTAGCAGCCATGATGCATTGGACCATTAGCCCCTTGGCACCTCAGTTTGCCTCTCTGCAAAATGGGTATAAAAACTTTACCTACCTCCCAGGGTGATTATAAGGATTAAATGAGACATTGGAGGCAAAACAGGCTTCCCAGTTCAACCATAAGGGCTGACTATTTTTAACATAGTTACTGGGAAGAAAAAGCTCTGTGGTGCAATGGGATGATATGGACTTGGAGAACAGGAAGACCTGAGTTCAAGTCCAAGGCCTTTTACTTCCTTAGCTGTGTGACCTTGAGCGGGTCAGTTACCCTCTCTGAACCTCCCAATTTCCTCATCCAATCCTCCTTTGGGATTCCATAATAGGGAAATGTATAGAGACAGAGCCCTTGCCAGGTGGTTCAGTTGGTTGGAGTGTCATCCTGTGCACTGAAAGGTTGCAGGTTCAATCCCCGGTCTGGGCACATACGGGAGGCAACCAATCGAAGTTTCTCTCTCACATCCATGTTTTTTTCTCTCTCTCAGTCTCTCTCTAAAATCAATAAACCTATCCTCAGTCGAGGAGTTTAAAAATAGCTACAGAGACAGAAAGTAAAATAGCAGGTGCCTAGGACTGAGGGGAGGGGGCGCTGGAGGGAGATGACCAAGGCTTTCTCTTTGGAGTGAGGCAGGTGTTCAAAGACTGGCTGTAGTGATAGTTAAGCATCTCTGGGAATATACTAAGAGCCATTGAACTGTACCCTTTAGGTGGCGGAATTGTATGGTCTGTGAATTATATCTCAATAAAGCTGTCAAAAAAAAAAAAAAAAAAGCCTACCTAAAGAATTCAAGGTAATGGGTGACAAAGAGCTTAGCATAACGCGGCCATTGATGAGTAGCGGGGTCTCATTATTAGAACCATTTTATACAGCGGGCCCTCCTCACCCAGCCTCCCTCCCACAGCCAGGCGGAGGCCCACCACCCTCCCCTCCACCCCCACAGCCAAAAATGACCAGAAAGCCCCTGAGAGCCTTTGAGCTTGGTTTCCTTTCCCGACATTGTTCAGAGAAGTGCATGTCCCCTGGGGACAAGCTGGGTCCCAGCTGCTGGTTGGCAGGCCGCTGTGACAGGAAGTGCCACCCAGAACTGCCTCCCCGAACTTGTCAGGGTTAGGCCCAGCCTCGCTGCTTCTGCATGGGGGGTGGACCCCTCTATTTTGTAAAATTTTTATTGAAGGTACAACTGGTATACAAAACCTGCACATATTTTATGCACACCATTTGAGGAGCTCGGACATACGCGTATACCTGTGTTACCTGCACCGCAATCAAGGTGGTAAACGTACCCATCCTCTCCAAACATTTCCTGTTGTTGCTTTGTGTGCTGTACTCTGCGTGTGGATGGTACCTAACATGGTATTTACCTTCTTAACAAAATTTTAGGTGTACAATACAACTATAGGCACACCATGGCACAGCAGGTTGCTAGAATTTACTCCTGCGTAACAGAAACTTTACATCCACTGAACATCTCCCCAACGCCCCGCCCCCAGCCCCTGGCAGCCATCACTATTCTCTGCTACTATCGGTCTAATTTAGATACTTCCTATGCGAGGGATCACACAATGTTTATCCTCCTGTGACTGGCTTGGTTCATCCATATTGTCAAATGGTAGGATTTCCTTCTTTTTAAAGGCTGAATAATATTTCATTGTGCGTATATACAACATTTTCTGTATTCGTTTATCCACGGGTGTACATTTAGGTGGTTTTCACACCTTGGCTATTGTGAGTCATGCTGCCATGAATTGGGAAGCGCAGATAACTCTGCGATCCTGCCTTCAATTGTTTTGGATGTAAACCCACAAGGGGGACAGCAGGACCATATGGTAGTTCTACTTCTTAATTTTTTGAGGAACCTCCTTGCTGTTTCCCACAGTAGCTGCACCAGTTTACATTCCCACCAAAAGGGCATAGGGGCTCTCTTTCTCCACATCCTCACCAGCACTTACCATCTCTTTTTTTTTTTTATAACAGCCATCCCAACAGGTATGAGGTGATATCCCGTTGTGGTTTTGATCTGCATTTCCATGATAATCAGTAATATCTGCCACCTTTTCGGATACCTGTTGGCCATTAGAATGTCTTCTTTGGAGAACTATTTAAGGCCTTTGCCCATCTTTAAATCAGGTTATTTGTGGGGGTTTTGTTTGCTTGTGTTTTTGCTGTTGAGTTGCAGGCGGCTGCTATTGAAACTGGGGCCTGCTTGGAAGAGCCTCAGCCCCATGGTTTTCCTTTGGGCGTCTCAAGCCTGGATTCCTGCTGGGGCTCATTGATTCATTCAGCAAACACTTGGGTGCCTGCAAGAGGCCAAGTACCGCTGCGGGGTCGTAGCGGTAAGGATCAAAGTCCCCCCCAATGAGCATATGTGTAGTTGGTGGGGGCAGGGGAGACACACAAAGGGGCGCTAGCATCAGACTGACCTGGTTTGAACCCCAGTTGTGCCCCTCAGTGCGTGGCTCTGCACAGAACGTTCACCCTCTGTGAGGCACGGTTTCCTCCCGGGCAAGTAGGGTAGCTGTGGAGGAGCGAGCCAGCTAATGCATGCCCAAGCCCTGGGCGCTATCCCCAGTTAAACGGGACCCCAGAGCTGACGTGGCCGTCGCCGCATTGTGATGGAGGCGCAATCCGCTGTGCTGAGAGCCCTTTCCCAGGCCCAGGCCCCATGTGAAATCAAGAGAGCCACCATCCGACCAAGGGTAGCTGTGTGCAAGCGCGACTGAGGGCGCAGGACAGGGCCACGGGCCTGGGTGTGAGCTCTGGTCCCGCCACTTACCCATCTTGTGTCCACAGCAAAGTGATTTCGTTTCTCTGAGCCCCAGTTTCCCACGCCGCATGGCTGAAGGCAAAGCTCCTGCCTGTGGCGGCTGGACGATCCGTTAGGATGTGTTCAGCTTCCACAGAAAGGCCCCCTATAGCCTCATGTTGCTGGAAGCCCAGGAGGGTGCAGGGGCAGGCACGAAGCAATCAGAATGTGAAGTACGTCCGCGGGACCACGATTCTGCCCACGGCCGCCACTCCTGGCAACCAGACCTGCCAGGGGAAAAGCCAGAAAGAGGAGACCTTTCCCCCACAGCCCGGGCACACTTCCCCTCTGGTGTCACTGGCCAGAGTCAGGTCACAAGCCCATTCTGCCTCAGTTACTCTCAGAGAAATGGGATCCGCATCTGGCTGGACGCTGGGGGTAGAGTCAGCTTCCTCCAAGTCATGTGAGGGTCCCTGTGGGTGTGTGACAACACAGGAGGGAGGATAAATAATGTCACGTGGGCAATCCGTGGGGGTCTGTGGGTGTCACAGAGCTACGTGAGGAAGCAGCACGGAAAAAGAAGTCATCCCAGTAGCACTTTTGTTCCCACCACAGGCCAGCAAGCTCCCCTACTCCGTTCTTCTATTCATTCAACAAACACGGAGCCCTGTTCCACATGACCCGCTGTGGATTAGTGTGCAGGGGCTGGGTGACAAAGCACTGCAGACCGGATGGCTTAAGCCAACAGAAGTTTATTCTCGCACGGTTCTGAAGGCCGACGTCTGAACTCATAGTGTCGGCAGGGTCGCTTCCTCTGGAGGCCCCAGGCAAGGCCTCTCTCTCAGCGGCTGGCGGCTGCGGGCCAGCCTTGGTGTCCCTGGCTTGGAGCTGCATTACTTCAACGTCTGCCCCATCTTCCATGGCCTCTGCCCTGTGTCTGTGTCTCAAACCTCCCTCGCCTTTATCTGCTGTGGATTTAGAGCTGCCCTACGTCCAGGACGGTCTCATCTTGGGATCCTTAATGACATCTGCAAAGACCCTACTTCCAACGAAGGTCACGTTCACAGGAACAGGGCCTTGGGACTTAGATCTTTCGGGGGGTCACACTTCAACCCACTCTACCCTGTGTTGGGTAAATAGGGCAGCCTATTTACAGCTCGAGGGGCGACAGCAGTAAGAGGTATTGCAACCGCAGAATGGCAACAGCGGGGTTGGCAGGATAAAGCAAGGCCTGGGAAGTCTTCTCAGAGAAGTCTTGAAGGATGTGCAAGTGCTCTCCAAGGTCCCGAGAGAGAGAGAGAGAGAGAAGCTGTGTTATAAACAGGGCTGTTTGGGCAAAGCTGATCAATGCCCTGAGAAGCCAGAACAGTGGTTCCCTTTGACTAGGAGGGAGTGGAAGGGTCTTGGGGGGCTGTGACGTTCTCAATTCTGATCTGGTGGTTACGTGGTGTGGTCTCTTAATGAAAATGTATTGAGCCTTACATTTACAATATGTACAGCTCTATATATGCCATCTCTCAATAAAATTTAGTTTTTTAAAAAGGTTGTTCCTATGCTAATGGGTTGGCTCTGATTTGTTTTTCTGCTTTCAGTGTTTTTTAAATACTAGAGGTCTGGTGCATGAAATTCATGCACTCTGGAGGGGGGGTCCCTCCACCCCGCCTATGCCCTCTCACAGTCCGGGAGCCCTCGGGGGATGTCCAACTGATGGCTTAGCAGGCCTTAGCCATCAGCCGGACATCCTTTGCACTGCTGCAGAGGTGGGAAAGGCTCCCGCCACCACCACCGTGCTCACCAGCCATGAGCCCAGCTCAGGGCTTCTGGCTGAGCAGCGCTCCCCCTGTGGGAGCATACTGACCACCAAGGGGCAGCTCCTGCACTGAGCGTCTGCCCTCTGATGGTCAGTGCATGTCATAGTGACCCGTTGTTCCGCTGTTGGGTCAATTTGCATATTAGCCTTTTATTATATAGGATCTTTTATTTCTAGAAGTTCCACTTTGCTCTTTTCTTTTTTATTATTTTACATATACTTTTATTTATTTCAGAGAGAAAGGGAAAGGGAAAGAGAGATAGAAGCATCAATGATGAGAAAGAATCATGGATTGGCTGCTTCCTGAATGCCCCCCACTGGGAATCAAGCCAGCAACCCAGGCATATGCCTTTGACTGGAATCGAACCTGGGACCCTTCATTCCACGGGCCGACGCTCTATCCACTAAGCCAAACCAGGTAGGGCACACTTTGCTCTTTTCTATATCTTCTGTTTACCTCTTTATATTATGTTCATTCTTAACTTTAAGTTCCTCAACATATTTATAATAGCTGTCTAAAATTCTTGTCTGCTTTCGATCATTATTGTTTTCTTAGTCTATTTATATTTCCTCATTTTGATTCCCACTTTCCTGCTTCTTCCCAGTAATTGCTAAGTGTCTAAATTTTTTGTTCTTCTTTTAAAGAGCAGCTTTACTTGGAAGACAGTTAAATTGTCTGCAGATCAGCTTTCAAGACTTGAATGTAAGCTCTGTTGGTATGGACTTATGGTGGCCTTTAATCTAGGGCTATTTAGCCTTCATATCAAGGCATGGCCCTTCTGGGGTCTCTATGAACTGTACCAGATGTTCAAAAAGGTCTCATTACTGTGTGGGATCTGAACTCTGCCATCTCTCAATTCTTTGTTTTAGTGCTGGGACTTGTTTAGCCTATAGCTTCCTAGTAGTTTGTTCTGTTCTCAGTAATTGTTCTTTGACCAACCATTTGAAATCTCATTCTAAGTATGCAGGGCACAGTATTCAGCTAGAGGCTCAATGAGACCCCATGCAGATGTGTGGGGCTCTTTCTCTGGGCAATGCCCTTCTCTCTGATACACTGGCCCACAAAGTCCAGCCACTGCCGCCTCCCTGATCCCCGATCTGTTTCCCCAACTCAGTGAGACCACCATGCTCTGTTCAGAATCCCCTTCCACGTACATGTATGATCCAGAAAGGTTCTCCAGGCAGAAAACCAGGGACATACATATCAGGGCTCTCTCCCTTTGC